TGCCATTTTTCTCCGTTACGACGATAAATTACGCTTCTGTTGTAAACATATTATATACATGTATATATATATATATATATGTACACGGATTTATGTGTATAAATAATGGTAGTACAATAGTAATAATAATAATTTTTCAAAGCGTTTTAATTTTTTTATATTTATTAACGTCCGTCCCTATAAATCCTAAAACGAAAACTGCTGGCCGATACCAATGCGAATACCTTTCCAGGGGAGACGTTAATTATAATAATATTTTTCTCATTTGGTAGAAGTTGTTCCATTTGGAGGAGACCTTAACGCCCGCTGTTTGGTACACCGCGTGATCCGTCCGAGTGCGCTCAACTTTCGGCTGTATGGATTTGTACGTGTATTCTCAGCGACTAATTAAAACCGTTGCCTTGTTCTGACACGCGTTATTTTCCACTAGTTTCTTAATAACTCTGACATTTCGGTAAAAATTACGAGCCTCTCCTACTCACCCACCTTCACTCCAGACCGTATCCGTGGATTAGAGGTTACAATGTAATACTTATCGCAGTCTCAAGACGGTGTCTTAATGAAGAGGTGCCCCGCGGTAAGTGGGTTTTTGTCGCTGTGGTCGAGTACGACGATGATTCGTGGTAAAATATAATTTTTTAATACGATTACCACCGGTAGATTAGTTTTGATGATCTCATTACCAAACTTTCTACGTCCCGTATAATTAAGTAGTCGCGTACAGAAAATTTTAAGTCTATGATCCGAAGTACGCGGATTTTCATTTGAGATTAAAATAATTGATATGAAAAAAAAATATCATTGATCCATCGCGTTAATTTCCATATGAATTAATTTTTCACAACTTCTAGCAAGTCCTTGACTGATGTTATAATTGTTTTGTTTTTTCAAGGAATTATTAGATGTGTTTTTAATAATCCTTGAGGGCTGCGTGAAACGATATCGCGTAAAATAAATTATTAAAATATTCTACGAAAACGCACTTTTTATTATTTATTATACAGTTATTATGGGGCTCTTTTCGGGTGTTTAAACGCGATTTACGCACATGTGTCGTGTACCGAACGATGATGTATTTTGCGTGGGATTTTATTTATAGCGCCGACATCCAATGGAACATTACTTGGAAATTTGTTGGACTGTTGCCAATGTAAGTCGTCAATACACCGCAGAGTATGATAATTTATCGTTTATTTACTATTTCATTAAAACTATATTGCATGTAATTTTCTGCGACAAATAGAAATGATTTTGTTTCGCCGCATTAAATATTGTGAAACTGAAAATTGGTATTTCCTGGTCACATTTTAGTAGCACAAAAACTATTGCTGTTATGGACATTTTTTTTGTTGAAAACATTTCGGCTATTTTACACGTAACAATACGCGTTGAGAGTTTTTGGCTATTTTGAATGTGTAGTTTGCGGTGAATAGTAAAAGGTCAGCTTTTCTCGTTTTCCATGTGAAAGTTTACATGATACGTACCCACAAGAATTATGACACGAGATATTTATACGTACCTCTTCGGCGGCCGACTTGATTTTTTGGAGTGTTTTCTAGTTTTTAGCTGTGTAAATACAGACGCGAACAAAACTTGGCGCGACAGTAAGCCGTTTCATGTGTTTTTACAATGCCAAGAAGTTTTATATGTATGGCGATTTTCGCACCCATTCTCTGTCCAATTGTGCTGTTGCGAGTTGTTAAGAGCATTAAACGTTTTAACGATAGAGACGTTAGAATGATATTTTATGGCCGTGGACTATAGTGTCGTCACGCCGATTTATTGCGCCGGCGATTGTCAAAGCGTTGTTTCAATAATATAATATATTATTATATTATAATGTGAAAACCAGGATTGTCTTACCACAACGGACGACGGCATTACTATACAATAATACTCGTACCAAACCCGGTGAATCGTGTGCCGCCGTTTACAATTTCTCGAATAAAAAAATAAATGGGAAACAAATAAAAATTACTCAACGCGCCTCGATTAGCCGTCGAGTTTTTTTTCTACACGAAATTATGACGTGTCTCTTATCAAGTGCCTGTCGCTGGCCCGTGGCGGTTTCGTGTGTGTAGCATTGTAATATTAAATTAGCGGCCGTGACTCATCAGTCTGTGTCGATTTTTCACAGATGACCACTGTAATTGTCGTCGCACACGAATAAACCGAATGTAAACTAAAGCGCTGCCGCGAGCAATGCGATACCTGAAGAATTATCCACAACTGTCGGATTTTGTCGACAAATCGACATGATTTACACGGCGTTTTGTTTTTCACGATTGTACTTGATCATTAATGTCCGCGGACACAATAAAATATTAATTAAATACCACGGGAAAAACGCCAATAGTTGTTATTAAGAAAACATATCATTTGTAGAATGAAGCCGTTGATGTGTACGTTTATTTTTTCGCATGCCAACACAATTTAATCTAAAACATAATTTGTTTACCCTCTTAATTGTCACTCGCTTGAAAACATATCATCACTTCGTTAATGTTTTCTGTATTACAATCTATACTCTAATATGCATCATTATCATTATCATAATTGCTGAAGATTAAATCTGTTTTTAATTTATGTCGTGCCTAGACATACGACTCACGATATTAATTATAATTATATTAAACCGCATAGTACTCGGTCTGCTAGAACATTCGGTGTTCTACTAATACCTATCGTGTTTTGGTAGTCTACATTTGTTTACCCGGACAGCTAATTAGTGAATAGTAAATTGCGTAGTACAGGCCGGGTAATCAGTTTTCATCGGCAGATGAAATACGCCGTTTTTTCTTTAGCGCTGGCAGCAAACTAATGAATCTTTTATCATTATCTTCAGCGTTAAGTTTAGAGCTTAAATCGATTCCAATAAAACAGCTAAAATAGACCTTTAGTTTAGTGTTCCAGGTACATCGTGTATTTTATTAATTAAGATAGAAAAACGGCAGACTTTCCTGTTCGTACGGTGCACATAATCATCCGCCGCGAGGAACAGCATCCGGTTGTATTTGTGTCCATAACAACTGTGCGTGTCCGGTAGTCCGAGTAGCGGCGGCTGTGGTGGTGCTCGTGTTTAACGGGGCGGCGCACCGAGTCATTTGCACGGCGAACGGTCGCGTGTCGTTTTATAGAAAACGTGTTGGTGCGCTATGATGGTAATAGCCGGGCCCGGTGGCCAAGTACCTTGTGAAGGTAAACTCGTTGGCGCGCGGTCCGTACTAGACGGTCGCGGTGGCGCCCGTCCGCATATTCCTGTTCTTCCGCCGTTGAAACGCGTCGTCCGCCGACTTGTCATCGCGTCTGTAGCTCTTGATCGGGTGCGGGTGGCTGACCCACGCGCGCGCGTGACCCGACCCCGTGGACGGCGGCGGCAACAACAAGTGCCACCAAACCGGCCTCGTCGCTTTACTTGTTGCGTACACTACCGTTGTCTACAGGTTTGCGGCTTCCGTCAAACGGTTCCGATGAAGGGACGTGGGGACACAATAGTACTTCATTGATATTCGCGGTAGTGTGGTCGTTGCAGAGCCCTTATAAAAGTCTTGGTGTTTGTTATTGTTGATTATACAAGAACAATGTTTGTTGACTGCCAGTGGCTACCAGTGACGCATTTTGGATTTGCGATAACAAAGGGAATACATGCGGAAAATTGATCCTCCAAATGATAAACAAATTGCCTTCATCTGGTCACGATTGTACTACTCGATAACCTCTAGAATAAATTATTATTCAATTTCGCTCTATAAATTTTAGTTTTTTCTTCTTAATCAAAACTCGGTTAACGTAATGATATTTTAATTCGCCGAAATCTGTTTCATTAGTGTTTATATTATAGTAAATAATTATATATATGAATTTTTTTTCTGTGTTCATAAAAACTTGCTGAGGTTGGATAATTATAATGAATAAATATTTATGTCTTCATTATTTTGTTATTTATTAGTTCCGTTTCTAAGTTAAAGTGATCTTAGTGCACCTCTTTCAACATCATAGTAATAATGTTGAATTAATTTTTCATAAATAGAGATTGTAATAGAGCGTTAAACAGCGCCTCGGGCCTAGTTTAATAACTCTCCGACCTTCTAATTTGCAAAATGTAATTTTATTTTATTATTATTTTTAATTATTTCTATAATTTCTCTTATATGAAACCGAAATAGTAGGATCGTAGTATGTATCGTTTTTTCTATATAATACCATAGGAACTATAATAAAATAACGTTAACGTCTCTTGCGTGTTTCATAATAATTATTGCTAGATAGATTTTATTGCCTCAAAAATATTTATAAGAATAATTATTTTTGGACGCAATAAAATTCATCTCATTAACTGTATAAAGCATATCCTAAATGCTATTATATTTCGTTTCTAACGTTAACAGATTTTGATAGTCACGTATTACGTATCATCAAATACTTTGCACTGATCGTAGAGCTTCGTGTGAACTCTCTTTCTTTAGTTTTACCCCGTTTTTTAAACTTTAATAAAGTCGGCATTGGTCAGGGAGACTTGATATCATATCTACATTTGCAACAAGTATGCAGAAATTCATGTATAAGAAAATATATATATATATCAATCAGAAGTCTATTGATTGGTTTTGCGATTTCACAGGGGCGTAGACAGAAGAGAAGCCCTCCAAGCAATAATCTCTTAAATGAAATTATGAGCAAAAAGAAAAGGTCCAAAATGTGCAATTTTTGTAGATTTTTTACTATGCCCCCTACCATTATGAAATTCTGACTATGCCAATGGTATCTTCTATCAATGTGCTAGAGTTAAATGTCAAATAAATTATTTTTTGTAGGATTCAAATAACCCCAGGTTTCTAAATTGCATCAAATGTATGCGTTAAATAAAAAAAGTCCAAATATTTTTCGTTACTGTAACAACGTAAAATTTATTTTACATTATTAAATTTTTATAATTTATTTAATACAATTAACAAAAATGTAATCACTTATTAATAACATGATGTTTAGTAAAAGCGCGTATAAGACGTTGCTACTCATAAATTAGCGACAGGATTTCTATTCTCATCGAGCGCGGATGCTTAACACCTTACCAATGTAACATTAGAATTGATTTAAACAATAGCCAACTCCAGAGACACATGATTGCTATCAGTGACATATTCAATATGAATAGAAATATATACAAGTATCATTTAAGCCGAACTTGAAAGTTTGGGTTTTATAATTAAAAACTACCTCGCTTTTTCAATCAAACCAATATAAAATTTGAGTTTTTTTTACAGTATTACTGTAGTACCCATTTTAAAAGTACAGTTTCATTACCTAGACTCCAAGTCGTTTGGAATCGGCAGATGTCTTGTTCTAGTAACTAACGATTTGTTCGATAGCGACTTGCCCAAGTTGCCAGTTTATAATTACAAAACGTGACTGACTGTATCTTCGTGAAATTAGCCGCCGTCATGTATAGTAGCGTGAATTTTAATTAACCGTTTTACCCCGTAGATTATGTTTATTACTTTATACACACATTTTTTTTTTTTTTATGGTATTCGACCCGCCTCCAATACGACTGAATTCTATGCACTGTAATAACAATATTTTTATAAACATGTACATCATATTAAATTGTGTGTGTATAAATGTAAAGCGGCTCCCCTCTGCGTGCGAGTATGTTAAACATCGGTTGTCCACAGACCTGAGTAGGGAGTTTACAAAAATTGTTATTAACCTATGTAATGTCGACAAAAATAAAAAAGTAATAATACCTTCGGGTCAAAAGCATATATATGAGTTATTCTCTTGTATGCATTTTTATTACATTTTAATACCTCCTCTCCGCATTTTGATTCTAAAAATTATTGTCTCTCCGTGTTTTAAATCTGTTCGTCCAATTAATGTAAACATAATTCAAAAGTTTTACTGAAACACAGAGTATCGTGTGAATTAATCAAGTGCTTGGATAACTCTTTTTTTTCAACATAGTTATTGACAACTGTTTGATTTTCTTTTGTTAAGTATTTACTTTATAAGCAAAATGGAAATTTTGATTGATAGTTTTGCATTGTTGTGGTATTATATATTTAAGAATGGAAAAAATACAGTTGAAATATTTATCTGTCTTAACCGACAACATAGACAAATTATTTCCTAAGGGTAAATTTTTGAAGAAAAAAAAACACAAATAGATGAACGTATTTTTTATGGCTTACTTATTTCCTGGTAGTTTCTAGGCTACATACATTGGATTCTTTCTAATATGTATATTCATTGGTTAATCTTGTAGGATTATCGGTCATATCCAAATCTTAACTGTAATAATCTGTATTATGTTTATGGCATATGAAGAACGGTGTAGAAAAAAAACCCAATAGTCACGCACACGATTATAATTACTTTCTCGTCGTTATAATATGTTTGTCTGTCTTTAGTTTCCTGTGACAGGTAAACATCAGTGTGTGTTGTAATTATTTTGTCTTGTCCAGACCGCTCACGTATGCATAGAGTACCTATTAATAATCATAATAATTATTGTGAGACGGTTAATCAACGGACCAGAAGAAAGGGTGAGTAATAGTATTTGATTGTATGGGCGGAATTAAAAGTCTGGAAGATATTTATTTCGTAATAATAATATTGTTATTGTTATTATATTATTCAACACAACGTGAGAGTTTAGTAAAGGATGTTTTTTACCGCATTCGGTGATCGTTTTTTTAATGAAATCGCCGTTTATAATCATATTATTATTGTCGAGATTCTAAAGTACTTATCAATAAGAAAATTCATTTTTAATCATTTATTTTGTGTGTTTTCTTTCATCTTAGACGTACATAAATTTATATAAACAAAACAGTACTTTTGAACGAGTTAAGTTTTGAACATTAATACCGTTTGATTAACTACAACTTCAAACATTTCCGCTGTCATACAAACGAATTAAAATTTATGAGTACCGATGACCGTTTAAATTGTTTAAAAACCGTTTGCAAAAAAATATCGGACAACGATTTGCCAATATTTAGTGGCGTGAGAAAATATATTTATTCAATATCAGTTTTCATATTAGATGCATATCTATTAATTGGTTTTATACGATTTTTATATTAATTTCGATTAGCAATCAGCATTACAAAATTCTGTTATTGGCTTATACAAAACGATAAGGTTTCTAATCGAAGAAAATAAAATTTAGGAAATACGGTAATTTTACATTCTGCACATGCTTTACGGACCGTGTGAGCTTTTTAATCGATTGATGCCTTGGGAATATTTGGCGAGTTATTACACAGTGTAACGAGCGGACGATAATAAATAATTTATGCATTGCTCTGTAATGGTTGATTAACTAACTAATAAGTTAATCAACCTCGCCGTTAATGCAGTATGGTCGACAACACACTACAGTGTGTAGGGTTTTGGTTATTAATAGGCCGTCAATCAATTTGACCGATTTGTGCGCCGGATAGCCGACAGTTGATTTAAAAAGAAATTTTATGACATCGTTTGTTTAGTATGGTCTATGCGTGTAAAAGTCGACCTTGATCCTGAAAATCAATATAAAACTCGACGGTTTTGACTGTAGGTAGTCCATTCAAAAACCGGTAACACTCGATCGATGACTACTGACTGACTTACTGGGCGACAACAAAACATTGCACACCACTAGGTTAAGTTTAATTGATATCCGTCGAGTGATCAGCCGCAGACTTCATTAACCGCATCGCCGATTGCTGCCATTATTCTGTCGTGTGCACTAAAATTAAATCAAAATTACATTTTGTTTTTTCTTTAAACATATATATATTTTTATATAGCTTACACTACATAACCACAATACTATTTATCGCTGTTGAAACTTTTTATTGAAAATATCAGCGAACAAGAATATATTAAATTTTAGATGTTAACTTATTCAATTGAACAAATTTGTGTATCATATAACAATGTATATATAAAAAAAAAAACTATTTAACAAAATTTCATAACGTTTGACTATAGTTCAATGGTTTGTACATGACATTCAGAATTATAAACTCGATATAATTATATAATAGAGAAATATATGTAAAAATTCATGAACATAAAATAACGAAATGTTAAATTGATTCAATTAAATAGAGTATGGCATATTTCCAGACGAATAATATTCACGGAAGGTTTGAATTAAGATTGTGATTATTTTGAATTAATTAATGAATCATCGAAACAATTTATGACACGTTCGGTATTAAAGATTTAGCCAAACGCATTAGTTTTCTACAGCAATGAATGGCCGTATTCAAAAGATTATATATGCTATAAAGTAGAACTTATTAGTAAAAATACATCCTAAATTGTTTTAAATTTACATTTTTTGATCGTTTAGATTGACGTTTGGCCTGAGTGTGCCTGTTATACGACTATATAACCCTGTTACACAACATACGTACGACCTATCGGTTATCTCCTTTGACCATCTTTGAGCGCTACGGATTTTTAAAAAAAATTGTCTGTCACAAACGTTAATTGAGATATCCCATGATAACCGCATAACATACCATTATTGAATGGCTGTCGACCACAACGTCCTAATGTTACAAGTGTGTGTATAGTCATCGATGATACTTTACGGTAATCCGTCTTTTTGTACTCGAAACAACCTCGGCCCGTAAAAAACACGTGCACCCCCAAAACAACCGCCAACCGAAGAGATTCGCATCGAGTGTTTTTCGTGTATACAAATCACAACAACAGATGGAAATGCATCGAAGGGGATAAAATTGCGAGAGCCGTTTGACCGCTACTTGCTTCAACAGGTTTTTGCTCGCTGCCGTGTGTAACACGTTGTTGTATCGATGAGGGGATCTAATTGGTGGGCGACAACCGGAGCATAGAAAAAAACACCCTACTGTTTATAGTAAAAAAAAACAAAAAAAAAAAAAAAGCCGCTCAAACATTACTTGTTGTGTATGTTATACAAACATGAAACTACTTGACAGAAATCCAGATTTATTGCGTCACTCCGGTTCTCTACTAAATACAATAAAATAACGTTAAGACGCATTTCTCGAGAGCATATTATACACATTAACATAAAAGTATCGGGTTCGTTTTAAACGTGATATCGACAGATCATTCGCTTGGTTAGATGATAAAAGCACACACTGTCTTGCAGTGCGTTTTCTTGTGGGAGACTACTGCGCCGATGCACGACCGAAATGTTTTAACCAGAGCTGCGCTACATACATACAGTCATTATCTCTCCCGTTGCGCACACTGTACCCCCTTGTATTGTAAAAAACGGCCCTCTAAACATATTTCGTCGGGTTTACACAATCGTATTTCATCATAGTCATGGTGATGTGTACGGGCGCGCAGCACAGATCTATTGATGTGGGTGAAGGCACAGTGGTGGGCTGCAACAACGGGATCTCGTACCTCTACAGGAGGAGCAACCCCTCGGTTTTGTACACATATAATTTATTCATTGGCTCCTCTTTCAAGATTATTGTTATTCTTTTGTACGTGTTATTTCTTCTAACGTACGCGCATCGTGACCGCAATGTGATGCGATCATGAAGTCTTATTAATGTGGAGTATTACGAGGAATAGATAAAAAAAATTTGAGCCGTTAATCCAATTTTTGTGTCAACAGATATGTTGGCTTTTAGCTTTTTAATTTGATCGCGAGTATTCTATTATCGTTTTGCACAGCTCCTGTTCAGATTCATCGAATCTGGCGTATATATTTCACTTGCCTCCCCTTACAAACCTCATTGATTTTAGATTGACATTTATGCGCGATACTAATATGATTGGGTGTTCATTACTTAACCACGCAAACAAAACACGAATCTGATTTCATTTACAGACCACATTTGGCGGTCGCAAACGATATTACTTTTTGCGGCTTAGACGCTATTCGATCGCTTTGGGACATCTTTGGTATTATGTGTTTTCTAATATTTCGTTTTCTCCCGTTGTCCAGATTTTGTTATTTTTTTCTACTGCTCACTATTTTCTTTTATTCCGTTTCGCGGGTATTTAAATATGTTTCGTACTAACGTACTGCTGTGGCAAACGACTTGACTTTTCACGAGCATTTGGTGTTCGAAGCGGCTGTTGCAGGCCATTGTTTGCGTTATCATCACGGTGCATACGGCTTAGTCATGGTGAAAAATTACTGAAGGGTTCCACGTTAGAGTGTTTGTTCAGGACGATACTTAAAAAGATGAGAAAAAAATAGTACACATTCTACGCGTATATTCTTACATCTATATGTTATAGGTTTGTCGAACTATTTGAATAGAAAAAAAAAAAAAAGCGTGTTTAATGAATAAATAATAGCTGGGGGTTATTTTCAAAGGATTCGAAGGACTCGAAGAAAAAAAATTAAATACTTCCAGTGTATATATGTAAACAGGATGATTGATGAACCGCAAATGACAATGACATATGTGCTGTCTGTGTTCTGTGCGGTAGTGATCATACATAATATTACATACCCACAAGATTTTCTGCAAACACCGGTGCGGATTTACCCAACGGACGATTTTTTTTCCTCGCTATAATTAAAAATACTGTTTATTTTGTACACAATCATGGTGTTTTTTTTATAAAACTAATGTTTTATTGAGTTAAAATTGACGATGATATGTTTTCCGATGCATATATGCGTGTCTGTAAATTAAATATTTTATTTACAACCTTTTGAGACATAAAAATGTACTAAAAAGTAGTGTTTCACTGGTTTTTATGCTAACCAATTGCGTCATCCACAGTTAATTAATTAGTCTGTTCTCTTGCTAGTAATGTATAAATATTTGTTTTGTTTATTCCATTAAACGCGAAATGGCCGTAGATATATTTTACATTGTAAATTTTATCGTTAAAAATAGTCAATGGTTTTTAAATCGATTTTGAAAAATCATAGTCTCAAAGTTAGCAGTGGTAGTTCAATTTACTGCACAAGATAATTACTGTCTACCTGGCTACGGGTAGTAAAATGTGGTGTTGCACTAAAAACAAATGGCTGATAAGTTTTATGTTACCGTATCATAATATTTTCTCAGTGTTAAATAAACAAGGCTGATATAATTGAATATTTTTCATTTATCTTATAATAGTACACGCGTAACGTTGTTGTATCTATTTAAACTAGTTGTGTATAAACCTTTCTCAAACTTAATCGCTAACGAAATCTTAAATTTGATCTGTTTCAGGTAAACCAGTTTGTTTAAATATACGCCGACAAAAAATCCAAGAAATACCTATTCTATATCAAATGCTTGTATTATTAGTGTGATTTATGTAAAGTCTAACATGTTTGCACTTAAATTATATTCTATACGTACGCATGAAACTGGGTAAGAATTATCTGTTGCTTATCTAGATCCTTTTTAATGCTATTGCACGTAACCTTCTCGTTTCGTCTGTAGTTGAATTATATTTATAAGTTTTGGACGGTTATCTATTTATTTAGAGGTTAAACTGTGCCATTCGGTGACAATAATGCGTTTGAATGTGTTACAGACCTTGTTGATGTAAGAATTGACGGAATTTTCATTAATACACATATCTTAGGATTTACTGTTGTCTGCATTTGATAAAACACCCGGCACAATCTGTTTTATACTCTGTTTTTAAATAGCACATTGTACTTGCAAAAATATTGTCATCGAATCAAGGCAAACGGTTTGTTTAACTGTAACAGACGATTTGTAGTATGTGTATAGGAGTAGGTTTCGAAATCTTGTTCATGGCTGTTAGGTACACTACATGAGTTGTAATGATTTATAACATAAGAGATTTAAAACAAATAAATAATATTTTTTAATAAATTAATGCAATTAAACAAATTTATATACCTGGAAAATGTTTGCAAAGTNGGAGTAGGTTTCGAAATCTTGTTCATGGCTGTTAGGTACACTACATGAGTTGTAATGATTTATAACATAAGAGATTTAAAACAAATAAATAATATTTTTTAATAAATTAATGCAATTAAACAAATTTATATACCTCATCTTTATCTTTATCTCATATAAATACAATTCATTATTGAAAAAATAATAATTTAATGCTTAAAAACAGTTTAATTGTTTCTCGTGACAAACAATTCAAATCCGGTTCCGCAAAAAAGTTTAATAATAACAAATTGTATTATTTTTAATACTTGCTCATAGTAAAAGACAATGATTACTATTGAATGTACAGAATCAACTTAAATTACAACTTGTGACGTCCCAAGATAGAATGACAGTTTTAATGTTTTGGGTAAAATACCGTTTATGATTATTAGCATTTAACTACATAATTTCGTAGTTTTTAATATATCTTACAATCTTTAAAAATACTTGCAAACAGAATATAGTTATAAATAAAATCTCGGTTAGAAGAACCTTCGATCGACAGTGTATTAAAAAAGTTTTCTATGTTCAGGAAATAATATTTGTTTCAAGTAAATAATTGTTTATTATTCAAAGCAATTACATTGAAAAATTACCATACGCATTCAGGAATCGAACCTATTGTTAAAAAACACCTATTCTGTATTAATGGACAGTCGCTGCAGTGTGTGTATGTATAATAACATAGTGACTTTTTCAATTGTTCATAATTGGTTTTTCGTGTAGAGATGAGCTAATCGTGTTTAGTACAACAAAACATGTGCGATATGCANAATAATATTTGTTTCAAGTAAATAATTGTTTATTATTCAAAGCAATTACATTGAAAAATTACCAT